TGGAGGGGGAATGGACATTTGTAAATGAGATTAAAAATTGAATTGATGGACTAAAACGTGAAGAATGATACCAGGACTTTTATTGCCAATTGAATGGGACTTTGATTCACTGTTTAATTATTTATGTATAAGTTTCCTGATGGTGATTTCTATAAGTTTGGTATTGTTACTTAAAAATAATAATAAATTGTAAATGATAAGGTAAAGTATATTATTGCGTATTGAATATTAATAAAATGTAATTGTTAAAATGTTTAGAGTAATAGTAATGGAAATTGTTATATTGAATGATGTTACCTATAGAACTGTTAAATGTTATGTAAGTTATGGAACTGTGCATAATGTGTTTCCCCTCCCAAACAAACATATTTAAGGGGGGGAGGTCTGTACTGTTCTCTATTTAGTAGGTCTATGGTTCATGTAATGGTTTATGTTTGTTATGTAATATAATGGTTCGTGCATATTAATATTGCTGAGAGGCGGAGCCAAGAGAGATGCTATAAGAGGCGGAGCCTGAGTCAGAGAGTCAGTAAGAGAAATGTAAAAGTCAGGCAGGAGAGAAAAGCCAGGCAGAGTAATAGAGTGTGTAGTTTGGGAAATTCTGAGGTGTGATTAGCTACAGAAGATATTTATGAATCAATCTCTGTAATCAATAAACCAAAGTTTTATTTAAAAGAACTTGAAGTGTGGACCTGACTCTTTCTGAAGTAATGGCGATTTAGAGATCGCCTGGTGGCAGCAGTGAAAAGAGAGAATTGTTTTCCTTCGTGTGCTCTGAGGCTTGACGGTCAAGCAAGTGGCACGAGGGTGGACACCACAACTGTATTACTGGCAGAAAGCAATAACATGTAATGACTTCTGGTTAAAGCAAAAGAAATTGCAAAAGTTGGACTGCATTTGTATATTAATAAGACAAACAGAACTACAGAAAACCAACAAAACTTTTATGTTGACAATGGAGAAATTGAAATGGTTAAAGATTTTGTATACTTCAGTTCAATCATCAATCCAAAGGGAGACTGCAGACAAGAAATCAGAAGACTGAGACTTGGAAGGGCAGTGGTGAAGGAATTAGAAAAGATCGTCAAGTGTAAGGATGTGTATCACTGGAGGCAAAGACTAAGATCTTCTACACTCTTGTAAGGTAAAAGTTCCCCTTGACATTTAGTCCAGTAGTGTCCAACTCTAGGGCGTGGTGCTCATCCCTGTTTCCAAGCCATAGAGCCAGCGTTTTGTCCGTAGATAGCTTCCATGGTCACATGGCCAGTGCGACTAAGCACAGAACACCGTTACCTTCCCACCATGGTGGTGCCTATTTATCTACGTGCATTTTTACATGCTTTTGAACTGCTAGGTTGGCAGTAGCTGGGACAAGCGACGGGAGCTCACTCCATCGCATGGATTCAATCTTATTATTAGATAAGGTAAAGGTAAAGGTTCCTGTTGACAATTTTTGGCCAGTGACCTTCACATTCCCATGGACTGCAAAGAGAACAAACCTATCCATTTTGAAGGAAATCAACCCTGAGTGCTCACTGGAAGGACAGATCCTGAAGCTGACGCTGTTACCTTACCACCAAGGTGGTCCCTATTTATCTACTTGCATTTGCATGCTTTCGAACCGCTAGGTTGCCGGGAGCTGGGACAAGCGACAGGAGCCCACTCTGTCGTGTGGATTCAATCTTACGACTGCTGGTCTTCTGACCCTGCAGCACAGGCTTCTGCAGTTTAGCCCACAGCGCCACCATGTCCCTATTTTATTATTAGGTACTGTGTTCCTAATGATTATATATGAGTGTGAAAGCCGGGCAGGAAAGGCTGACAGGAAAAGAATTGATTCATTTGAAATGTACTGCAGGTGAGCTTTGCACATACAGTGGACCCTCGACGTACACACGGCTCAACGTGCATACTTTTCGAGGTCCATACTTCTCCAGCTGCAAGATTTCCAATTGACTTGCGGCCAGAGAATTGACCTACGGACCGGAAGGGGGAGGCGGGGAAAGCGCTTTCCCCGCCTCCCCCTTCCGGTCCGTAGGTCAATTCTCTGGCCGCAAGTCAATTGGAAATCTTGCAGCTGGAGAAGTATGGACCTCGAAAAGTATGCACGTTGAGCCGTGTGTACGTCGAGGGTCCACTGTATGTGCAAAGCTCACCTGCAGTACATTTCAAATGAATCAATTCTTTTCCTGTCAGCCTTTCCTGCCCGGCTTTCACACTCATATATAATCATTAGGAACACACGAAGGTGTTTTGGGGGCGCTTTTGGGGGGGGGGGGGGCTCTGAGAGGCCTCCCATGGCGGCAGGGAAGGTCTTCGGAGTTCCCCCCCCTGCTGACACAGGCTTTCCCAGGGTGTACCGGGCCTACCAGGGGAGGGCTTCCCCCAGTAGGCCCCGTCTACTGCCCAGGAAAGCCTGGGGAGTAGACTGCGCCTACTGGGGGGAAGCCCTGCCCTGGTAGGCCTGGTCCACCCTGTGGCGGCGGGGGCGGGAGACCTCCGAGAGGCCTCCGGCAGCGGTGATGGCGGCAGCAAGGGACCTCCAAGAGGCCTCCGGCAGCAGTGGAGAAGTTCTTGGAGGCCTTGGGCAGCCGCGATGGCGGTGGTGGGAGACCCCTGGAAGGCTTCAGAAAGGTAAGTTTAATTTTATTAAATTTTGTGGGGGTGGTTCTTGGGCCGGTTACGGATTAATGGTTTTCAATGCATTTCTATGGGAAATGCATTTTTGACCTACAGACTTTTCGACCTACAGAAACCGTTCCAATATGTATTAATTGCATAGGTTGAGGGTCCACTGTACTCTGGACTGCCAGAAAGACAAGTGAGCCCTATGGGAGGCTGTTGGTGAGAGCAAGGTCCCTCTCACGGGACTGTCGTCCCTCCTGCTCTCTGCCTACAAGGAGGTGCAAGCACCACCCATTCCCCCTCCCAGGAAGATTAGACCACCTGAGCAAAGCTTGGGGAGCGTGGAGGAGGAATTGAGAGGAATGTCCGTTGGAGAAGGCGGGAATATTTTGGTGGGAAAAGAACCACAGCCCTGAGTAGAAGTAGAGGCAGGGCTGGGTGATATAAAGAGGGGAAAGGACAGCTTGCCTCATGGTCGGGAGTGGATATGGCTAGAGGACCCATGGACTGGGAAGGTGGAGAAGCTGAGGGTCCCAAGAGAAGAGGCAGATGCCTGGAGAAGAAGTGAGCTTACACCTAAGCCCTCTTATTGGGTTGAGCGTGAGACGAAGGAGTGGAGGAAGAAGTTGAGGGAGGAAAAAGAGGTTGAGAGGGAAAGGAGAGGGAGATTGGAATGCCTGATGATGCAACAGCAGCAGATAGGTCATTCAGGAGACTTTGGCCAGAGAATGCCTCCTCCTGAGACCTGATCTGGACAGATGACCAGGATGAAGACACAGTACCCCTATTGGAGGGGGAGAATTGACAATTATTAAATGCAGACTGTACCCTGGCCTGGCCAGGTCCCTGGAATACCCAGGAGACTAATCCATTAAAAATCGAAGACTGGAAGCCCCCTCCTAACCTGTTGTTAGAGGGAAACAATGGTTGGAATACGCTTGTAGATATAGGCTGTTTGTTAAATAATCCAATAAATGTGACTCCAATTTCTGAACCAAGGACACCTGTCAATTCGAAGAAAAAGTGGAGCCAGGCCTCGAACCTTCACACCTGGTCTAGAGCAAAAGAAGCCTGAACTTTTTCTCAAAGCAAAAATGGTAAAACCCAGTCTCTAGTACTTTGGATTCCTCATAAGAAAAAAAAGACAAGCTAGAAAAGAATAATGCTTGGAAGAGGTGAAGGCAGCAGGAAAAGAGGAACACCCACTGTGACATGGATTGATTCCATAGAGGAAGCCACAATTAGAGTTTACAAAAGAGGAGCAGAACTGTTGTGGACTTTGGAGGCCACTCGTTTAGAGGGGGTCGCGTTAAGTTGGAAGCGACTTGAGGAAAAACAACTTGGTAACCCTCCCCTTTCTCTGCTTTAGAACTGTCCCTCCTCAGGGAAATCTCCGCTCTCTGGACGAAGAAGGAGAAGGGGGCGTTGCCGCCCCCTTTTGGCGCATAGGCGAATAGTAGGCCCCGCCCCCTTGACGTCACTAGCAGGGGCGGCCCTGGCGGTCGTTGGGCGGCCTCGCGGCCTTCAGGTCTCGCGGGAGGACAGGCGGCAGCGGCTGTTCTGGAAGCCATCATGGCGGCGGTGGCTGGTACCGCGTCCGAGAGCCTGCCTTGCTTGGCGACGGCGGTCCCGAGCCCCGCTCCGGCGCCGCCACCACCGCCGGGCCCCCCGGGCTACCGGCCCTTCGATCCCGAGGCGGTCGGTTTAAGCCCCGGCTGGAGGCTCACCAGCTACGGG